TCCCCCCCGCCGAAGCTGCGGCAGGCACATCGGCGGCTTACTACCTGGTCAAGTGGATCACCTGGAAAAAGAAGAAGACCCCCATTATCACTCAAAGTGACAACGGACCCTGCCCCCTGCTGGCCATCATGAACATACTCTTCCTTCGCTGGAAGGTACCAAGCACATTTTCTGTACACACCCCAAAACAATGCATATGCGCCTTTCACACGTGTGTGTGTGTGTGTGTGTGTGTGTCTGCGCGGCTAGGCAAAGCTCCCCGCTCAGACTGAAGTTGTCACCACAGAGGACCTGATGGCTCACCTGGGTAAGCTGCTTCGGTATGATGTCATGATGACATCGTCATCATCTCCATGACATCAGCTGTGTTCGTGTGCAGGTGAGTGTGTGCTGTCAGTTACACCCAGGCAAAAGACGGACGGGATGGAGCTCAATTTTCAACAGGTACGCACAGCCGCACTCACACAATCCAGATCATCACTTGCTAACGTGGCTTGCTAGCATGGCTAAAACCCGAGTCAAACCTGACTAAAAACGTGACTTAAGTTTGAAAAGTATGAGTAAAACATGTCTAAATGTACAGAACGTATCGCTAAAATGCAACGACAACATGTCTGAAACATTTTAGAACATGAGCGACGCCATGGCGGTGCTGCCCAAACTGTCGACGGGGCTCGACGTGAACGTTCGCTTCTCGGCCGTCACCGACTTTGAGTACACGCCCGAGTGCATCGTCTTTGACTTGCTGGACATCCCGCTCTACCACGGATGGCTGGTGGACCCCCAGGTGTCACCCCCGCCAACCCCTTTCAGTCATCTTCACGAGACACACTGTTGACTCTTGTCACATGTGCGTGCGCAGAGTCCCGAGATGGTGGCCGCTGTCGGCAAGCTGAGTTACAACCAACTGGTGGAGAAGATCATCGACTACAAACACTCGGCCGACAGCACACAAGTCGCCGAAGGTAACGTGCACACACCCAGCATGAAGCAAATTTAGGAGAATAAATTTGATTTCAGACAGGCCTACACAGGGACATTTAAAAACACAACTGAAAAAAAATATTTGTAGGTTCAAAACAAAAGCACTCCCATAATAACATTGCGCTGTATATATATGAAATAAACAATCGGACTTGAATTTGGAGTGAGCTTGATCCAAATTTGGATAATGATGCCATTTTACATGCACGCAGACGCACAGACCTTTTAGCACCCACCTGTCCACACACAAACAGGAAGCTGCTCCAAAAAACAGTGTTGAAGTTGTGCCTCGTGAGCCCTTTTGAGTGGTGTTTGAGAAACATTCGAGTCACGTGGTGCAGGTCTGGTGGCCGAGCACTTCCTGGAGACGACGGCCACTCAGCTGTCCTATCACGGCCTGTGCGAGCTCAACGCCGCTGCCAAAGAGGGGGAAATGTGCGTCTTCTTCAGGAACAACCACTTCAGTACCATGATCAAACACAAGGTGGCGCCACACGAGCACACACGCTCACCTTCCACGCACACGCAGTCGTTTTTTGGCGTACACGAAACGTCAGACATGTTTGAGTCACGTGCTGTCTGTCAAACATGCTTGAGTCACGCCCAAGCCCCTCTCCCAATAGGCTTCAATCATATTTCAGTTGACTCATGTCTCCATTGTCATGTCTGCGGCGTTTGACGGTGATTTTTGTCTCAGGGGCACTTGTACTTGCTGGTGACGGACCAGGGCTTCCTCCGCGAGGAGGGCCTGGTGTGGGAGTCTCTGCACAACGTGGAAGGAGATGGGAACTTTTGCGACTCTGACTTCCGCCTGTGTCACCCTCCTCCGAGGGATCTGGCTGCGGTGGCGCCCCCCGGTGGCTCCCCGCCGCCCTGCGACCAACAGCAGCAGCGCCAGATCGACCAGGTAGCGGTCAAGTTTCACTTTTTTTTTTTTGTTTTAACAAAATGTTTTAGCCAGGTTTTACTCATGCTTCTGACATTTTTCAGTCATATGCAATAACGATTTTACAAATTTCAGACGTGCTAGCCAATTACAAAATGTGTTCTGTTGTACAATGCTTTAGTCATGTTTTAGACATCTTCCAGACATGTTGTAGTCCTTCGTCAATGTTGCAGTCATGTTTGGGACTCATTTTAGATATTTAAAGGACCGCTATTCAAGGCAGAGACTATAAATGTGTGTGTGTGTGTGTGAGGATTATCTGGTGGCGGTGTCACTGCAGCAGGAGAGCGGCGGGGCAGCCTCAGGAACCATCAGCGATCTAGAGCTGGCCCGGCAGCTTCAACAGGAAGAGTACCAACAACAACAACAACAACAAGCCCCACCACAGGCGGCCGTGCAGGTAACCATTGCAACAACGCTCACCTTTGTCTCGTTTCACGTTTTGTCATTTGTCACGTTCCGGATTTCTTTCCCTTGTATTTTACATTCCAGTCAGGTTTATTATCTTGAGTCAAGTACTTGTTATGGCGTAAATCATGTTTTTAACATTCTGGTGTCTTTGTAGCTCAGAGGTCAGGGGTCACAGGCAGGAGGGGCCAGAAGAAGAGAAAGAGACTCAGACTGCGTCCTGCTTTAACTCGTCCCCCGATGTAGCACACGCGCGCACACAAAATGCCAAACCTCAGTGCTTTGTGACTGTTTTGCTTTTGTCGAAAGTTTGTCAAAGTTCACCTGTCAAAACAACCTACCCCTACTAGCTTGTGGGCTAAAAAAAAAAAAATGGCGTTGCTTCGCTTAACCAAGTGCACTCGCTTTCCTATGTTGAATGCTCAACTTTATTTTGGGGTCGTCCAGATTTACGATCAATGCGAGTTTGTTATTTTATTATTTCCACAGTCAAGAAACAGTTACTGTTTGTTTTCATTTGATTTGCTGACTTCTAGCCATATGTAAATCATATTGGGATACGTTCATTCAAATAATAAAAAATACATTAAGACAGCATGGATACGTTCTCATTTTGGTCTTTATACATCAGTCAGAAAATAGGCAAAATTGCTGATCTTTGTTTTCCAAAATCAAATGATTTGGCTAATTTTAGGATGTCAATCAATTAGCAAAATAGTTGTCGATTCATCGTTGCACTTTTACTACAAGAATTTAAAAATGTTAAAAGCACTCTTTCACATTCAAACTTCACTTTTTTTTGTATTTTCACATTTGAAAGAAGGAAAAAAAAGGCAACAATAGTTTTGTGTGATCATGGCTTGGTTTTCTTTCTGGACAAGAACAGAAAGTGTTTCAGCTAGCGAGCTGCTAATAGATACGCTTGCAGCTTGTAGTGGTGTGCTTTTGTCTCTTTTGTTGTTAATAGGAAGAGAAAAAAAAAGCTATTGATCAAGTGATCCGCTGAAAATCAAACCAGTTACAGTACTTTAGTCCAATTCAAAGTTTTTATTACTTAAAAAAATAGTTAAGTGGTTAGTACAATTTGACAGCCCTGCAGTAAATATAAATACAGACTGTACATTTTAGTATTAGAATTTAGAATGATGTGTTCGCAGTTGGCTACCATTAAGGTAGACTAGCTCCGTCATTGGCAATAATACAAAGGTGTGGTTTCACACAAAGCGTCTTCAATCAGGTCCTCCTTTAGCAGTCGTACAACCGCATTGTAAACGTGCCTCCTGGAGTCAATCAAAGGAATGTAGTGTTGGCCAATCGCAACAGCGGCAAGGAGTTGTGTCGCGTAAACGGAGTGCATCTGTTCTTCAGGAAACCAAACTAGCTTCCGTGAACAGTAAACGACAAAAATGTTGCTTTCAAACCAAAACGCCCCATTCAAAATGTTGCGTCAGTGTGAAATTACAAACGGACCTTCGTTCACCATGTAAACAAAAACCTGGTTTCAAAGCTCACGCCGATGTTCACATTCCCGTCACAACTATGAGATGCCGACGTGAACTTTTCAGACTGGAAGGACACAACAAACAAAACATTCAGCGTGTATCGCGTGCGCATGGATGGAATAAATGCTAACAAGCTACGCTCGTGCAGACGTTGCGGCTGTCGCGTTGTAGCGACGACGCAACAGAAAAGTTACAGGTCGCGTGGAGACGTCTTGTCGTGTGCTTCAGTAGAACAGCAGGCAAAGGAGGAAGAAGCGGCAGCCGAGAGGCGAAGGAACAAAATGAAGCAGCTAAAGGAAACGGAAGCAAAACCCCCACAAAAATTAGGAGGCATAATAGGCAGCAGCGGAAGGAAAAAGAATCAAGATATAGAAGAAAATAAGAAGCATAATAATGGACCGCAGCACAAGTCCAAGAGGAAGGACGTAGAATAAGAAGAGGCAGAAGAAGCAAAACGTTTGAGCTGGGCAGTCCCGGACTGTCCGTCTCCACCAGAGGATGGTCGTTGGGTCACATGATACCGTTGGTGACGTACTGGTAAGAGTCGTAGAGTTTGGTGGTGATGGAGCGCACGGAGCCGTTCACCAGCCGCTCCACCAGCAGCTGCAACTGCTCCTCCGTCAAGCTCATGTGGAAACGCTCCTTCAGGCCGCGGATGGTCCCTGAGCCCTGGAAGCACGCCAGGGGCAAACCTGCCAAACGCCCAGGTCACTCATTTACCGTATTTGGCCCGAATATAAGACGGCCCTGATTATAAGACGACCCCCCTCTTTTTCAAGACTCAAGCTTGAAAAAAGACTTTTTGAACACAATTTTTTATACAGAAAATAATTATAGTACATCTGAAACAAATGATTCTAACAATATATTTGAGAGAAAAAACATGTTATTTTGCCTCATTCAAATCTTAATATCTGAACATTTAAATATGTAAACTAAAGTGCAATCACATTCGTAAATGAATGGCTTCTGGTTTTTGAAATGGAAATGACATCATAACTTCTCCTCAGCTGCCGGTTAACCTGGCCGATCTTAGACCCACTTTTCTCCAGATTGTGTCTACGTTTCTCCATTTTCTGTTATCTCTTCGATTATTTTCTTCTCTTTTCCTTTTTACCGCTATTTTTTCTTTTTCTTCTTTGTGCTACCGCTATTTTTATTTTTATTCTTCGTGACAGGGGTTCACTTTGGCCTGGGCAGTCAAATTCAGCATTCAATGATATGTGGCGCCATCTCGCGTCACGAATGGGTATAATGTCTAGACCCCGAATATAAGACCACCCCCACTTTTTCAGTCTTATTTCAATGCAAAAAAACACTGTCTTATATTCGGGCCAATACGGTACTTTAGTCTGGACCCCCCCAAAAAAGTTCTTCTTTTGCTAGGGTGCAAATCGAGCAGTGAGTCTCGGGTCCGTACCTTGCTGCATGATCTCCACGATGTGCAGCACCTTGTCCATGTGCTTCCTGGCAGCGATCATCCCTTGCAGCATCAGCATCTTATAGTAGACGAACATGTCGCCTTCCAGACCGCCCATCACCTGAACACGCAGACGGCACGAGAAAAAAAAACGTACGACTTGAGCCGTTGCCCGACGGCGACCGAAACACGATAAGATGGCGCGCTCGCCTCCACGAAGTCGGCGGTCATCTTGAAGGCAGACGTCTCAAAGCCGAGATTGCGCGGAGAACTGGACAAGATGAAGCCGAAGTCGATGTGAATGATGTGACCTTCCGAGTCCAGCAGGATGTTACCGTTGTGTCTGAAAAAAATCACATCTTCCTTGGGTTACTGTTTGTCGTCATGGAAACGACATCAAGTCTGAGGAGACCCCGACTCAGCTTAGCAAGGGGGGGAGAAAAAGGTTCTGACCTGTCTTTGACTTGCAGGAGGTAACAGACGAGGCTGTAGCCGGCGCAGCTTTGCACAAAATTCCTCTGAGCGCTGAGGAATTGTTCGGTGGTGAAGCTGCCGTGTTCCTGCAGGAAGTAGTCCAGCAGCGACAGCTGACTCTGCTTGTGCACCTGACAGGGTACAATTGGGATATTTGGCATCAGAGTCACTCAAGATTACAGCGACAAACGGGAAGGGAGTGAACCACCAGCAAGTTTGACACGAGGTTCATGGGCAGGGGTCGGCAACCCGAAATGTTGAAAGAGCCATATAGGACAAAAAAACAAATATGTCTAGAGCTGCAAAAAAAATTTTAAAAAGCCTTCTATAAAACTTACAATGAAGGAAACACATGCTGTATGTATGTAGGAGACTGGACTGTCTCAGAATTGTTATTCATTCCTTTGTTGTGTGTTCACAAACGCCCCCATAGAATTTATTTTGTGATTTCCTCGCTTGATTTTTTTGTTTTGGTGCATTATTTTTGCTTTTCTTAGTGTCAATGAAGTCATCATGAATTTCTGTTTTTCGGAGGCTGTCTTTGAACGCCTCTCGAGTTGAACGAGAAGAGAGAAGGCACGGAGTCGGACGTAGACATGTTTGTGTTTGTCGAGACTGTTAAAAGCATAAATAAAGTGTGTGTTTAAAAAAAAAACAACACTACAGCTCTCCTTTTTCGGAGCTGCAACATGTATCTCTATCTATTTGAGCTATATTAGCCTACTATCAAAATCTTTTTCCATTTTCAAACATTTTTATCAAGCTCCAGGGAGCCACTGGATGTCGCTAAATAGCCGCATGCGGCTCTGGAGCCGCGTGTTGCCGACCCCCGTTCATGGAGATGAAACAGCAAGTCAACACAAAACAAAAAGTACAGCCTAAACGGCAAACGAGATTGCGCGACATGACTTCCGGCTACCTGATGCAGGGACACGGCATTGAGGACGGGTTCGATCATGCCGCTGTCTGATGACATCACCAGGATCTTGTAGGGTTTGATCCACAGGGGAAGTCGCTCTTGATGCCAGATGGCCTGAAGACAACCGGCGTCCTCATCATGCTAATGTGCTGACGGCGATGCGTTGAAAAAAGGAAGAGTGGCGATCACCTGGAGTTGCGTGAGCACCTGATAAGCCAAAAGCTCTTGTCTCAAGTCGTCTCCGCACTTGACGATGACGGGAAGGAGACGCCAGCCGGGGAGGTGGCCGTAAGGAGACGTCTCCTGGATACGCCTACACGCACATATTTGACTTCAGATCACTTCATGACATGATTGCGTTCGTGCGGTGGCGGCCCCCACCTGACTTTCTCCCCCCAGGGTTCTTTGAGGGCGACAGCCGAAGGGTCCTCGGGGTCCTTCCTGAAGGAAGTGGACATGTGCGCCAGGTTCTCCGACAGGCGGCGTCTGCGGCCCGCGCAACAACAACGTCAGCCGCCAGCATGAACAGGAAGCGGACAACGCCCGACGCAGACTCACCTGATGTCTCCGGCGGCGACAAACACCTCCCTGCTCTCCACGCTGGTCAGGCTGTCCAGCGAAAACTGACTCAGGTTGTCACTGCTGCTCGTCTGAACCTCCGCCGCAGAACGGGAAGGAGACGGCAAACCAACAGGAAGTCAACAGGAAGGCAAAACGGCCAAACAGGACATGAAAAAGGAAGGGACAGGGAGTCAACAGGAAGTGTATTGAAAGTAAACAGGAAGTAAAAAGGAAATTAAGTCAACAGGAAGTGGAAGTGGACAGGAAGTAAAGAGGAAGCTGGTTGGTTAGTGCTCACCTCCACTTGCAGTTGTCCAATGTCGTCAATGGCCCAGGCGTCGTCGTCGTTTTGCACGCTGGAGAGGTGTCCACCGGGGACGGTGATCGAGGCATCAGTGCTGCAGTCCAGGTTGTCGGCGGAGCGGGCCGAGCGGATCCGAGTCTCAGGAATGCGGGTGGGGACAGCCGACGTCTCAAAGTTTTCGCATTCCAGCACCTCCACGTAGATGATGTACGGAGCCTGTCCGCGACACACGCAGTCGGCGGTCAGTCCGACGAAATGTCGCACACGCACACGATGTCACCTACTGACGCTGCTTTTGTTTTATTCCTCGATGACGCAAGCTTATGACTGCCATACCACAAAAATAGCAAAGTTCAAGATCATGTTACGTGATGAGATGAAAGTGATGATTGAAATATTGGTACAAGTAGGGTGACATGCTGTGTGCCGCATTAAACATTGTCCAGAGGAAGCAAACAAGAGTCTGTCCTAGCATAAGCAGTTGAGAATCCTATTTGGGCAGTGCTTCATTTGTCTGCCACTAGAGGGAGTCCCAAGTATCATGACTACAGTAGTACCGTATTGGCCCGAATATAAGACGGCCCTGATTATAAGACGACCCCCTCTTTTTCAAGACTCAAGTTTGAAAAAAGACTTTTTGAAGACCAAATTAATTTTTATACAAATAATTACAGTACATCTGAAACAAATGATTCTAACAATATATTTGAAAGAAAAAGCATGTTATTTTGCCTCATTCAAATCTTAATATCTGAACATTTAAATATGTAAACTAAAGTGCAATCACATTCGTAAATGAATGGCTTCTGGTTTTTGAAATGTAAATGACATCATAACTTCTCCTCAGCTGCCGGTTAACCTGGCCGATCTTCGACCCACTTTTCTCCAGATTGTCGCTACGTTTCTCAATTTTCTGTTATCCTTTCTATTATTTTCTTCTCTTTTCTTTCTTACCGCTATTTTTTATTTTTCTTCTTCGTGACAGGGGTTCACTTTGGCCTGGGGAGTCAAGTTCAGCATTCGCTTCAATGGTTTCTGGCACCATCTTGCGTTGTGAATGGGTATAATGTCTAGACCCCGAATATAAGACGACCCCCACTTTTTCAGTCTTATTTCAATGCAAAAAACACCTTATATTCAGGCCAATACGGTACTCTTGTCGATGTTCCAATGTCCAAATACAATTGGCTGATCGGCTGAATGTGCTTTGCCGGTGAACTGACCTTGTCTTTGGAATTGAGCACGGCGGCCTGCGTGTGCGGAATCCTGACCAGGTGGTGGTGGAAGTCGGCAGTGGGCAGCCAAACTCTGGCGGGAAGTTTGTGGTTCAGCAGCGACAATTCCGAGATCAGACGCTGCGTCTTCTGCTCTTTACTGTGCAGCGATGCCAGCCGGCGACCGATCGCCAGCAGAGACTTGACCAGCTCCCGCTGAGGACGCAGACGCTCCGGCTAGGCACACAACGCGATGTATCGGAGTCCACGTCAGGGAAAATATACAGGAGACAGGCCAAGATGAGCAAGTCACGCAAGCACAGCATTCGAACCTCACACCTTGGAGGCAGACTGCTAATGCTCATCCGCCATGTTGTCCATCCACAAACAACAACAAAAACCACTACAACAATAACAAAATGGCGTCCTTCACCTCCTGTTGGTGCGCCTCCACTTTCGGGTTACTTCCTGCCCTGCGCAAGGCACCGCCGGGCCCGCCGGGTGGGGCGGCGATGTTGGCGTCCGACTTGGACCTCTGGTGGCACCTCTGGGAGGGCGACGCGCTTGGCGAGGCCATTGGCGGTGGGGTGGCGGCGGTGGCCATGGGGGGCCGCAGCTGGTCGGACAGAATGAGTTTGCGAAGTTTGGCCCCTCGCGAATGTCGCTGGGCCGAGATGTGCATGTCGGACGAGTAGGCACCCAGCAGCCACGCGCACAGGAGCGAGAAGACGATGCTGCTCCCGCAGCGGTGCACCTGCCCACCAATTGCACGTCAGAACGCCATTCCGCCCCACCCGGCCACCCGCCCCGCCTACTCACCAGATAAGGCCGGATGGCGTCGCCCACCTCGCCGTCCATGTGCACGTACATGCTGAGCAGCTGAGGCAGGTAAAAGTCCACATCGGCGGGCGGGAAGCCGAAGAGGCGGTTCCCTATATAGGCCTGCACTCCCGGCTCCTTGGACTTGAACAGGTAGGCCACCGCCATGGACGCGTCAAACAGCTTGGACTGGAACAGGCGCAGTAGCCACGAGGAGCGATCAGAGGCCGGCGACAAGACACGTGCGTCTGCCCACCGCTCCTCGTCCTCCTCTCGGATGGCTCCATCTTGCTGCTGCATTTGGACCTTCAGCAGGACTTCCTGGCACGCCTTCAGCGCCACCTCTGCGTCAATCACTGCACCCAAAAAACAACAACAAAAACTAGCAAACTAGCCTTACCAACATAATGAGGGTTGGGCTTTCGAGGTAGGGTTTTAAACTAGGTTTAGTGTTTCCAATTAGGCTTTTAAAAAAGGATTCAGGTTTTAAATTTGGGTTTCAGAGTAAGGTAAGAATGAGAACGAAAGAGAAGCAAAGCAAATGGAGTAAAAAGAGAAAAGAAAGAGGGATAATAAGTGTAGAACTCTACAAACAAAGCAAGTAAGCAGGAAGAGTAAATGAAGGAAGTGCAGCCAGCAGGAAGAGGCACAGGTGTGGTCGGCCTGTCTGGCTCACCTTGGAGCTCCTCCTCCTCCTCTTTGTTGTCCATGGGAGGCGGAGTGGCAGCCACGGGATCTTGGGTGTCGCTGCTGAGGCTGGCGCTGCTGCCGCCGGGGCTGGAGCTGCGGGGGCTGACAGTGGCCGAAGACGGATGTTCGTCCTTGGCTGGCTGGGGGCGAGGCGCCAGGCGGCGCCGCCGCTGTCGTCGAGACGGGCAGTCCGAACAGCTCTCGGAACAACGCGACGACGATGACGAGGATGACGACGAGGTGCTGGAGGGCGACGACGGGCACGAGAAGGTGGTGGGCGAGAGGGACGGGGGAGCGGGCGCTGATGTGTGGGCGGGGCTTAACTGGAGCAGATGCAGTGCGGGAGAGAAGGAAACTTGGGTGTCGGCCATCTCTGTGAAGGACAAAACTTCTTCTCAAGATCAAGAATGCACAGCAGGCTCTCAAAGAACACGTCTCTTTGATTTCAGGACGCTGGGGTGACTTTTCAAGTCCCCTAGATCGGATGGATCTGATCACAAAAACCCTACAAATGTCATTCCTCCCCCCTCAGCCGTTTGGACAGCAGCAGCAAAGTCACCACAAGTCACCATCCGATGCATGCGAGCACACAACAACATGGTTTTCCGCGCCTTCTTGCACGAAGCGTAGTTTCGACTCAAACATGACTCGTGCCCTCACGGAGGACATTTCACGACATCAACCACCTGAACGTCAAGTGACAAACAGCTCAACTTTTACATCCATTCTTTGTCTCCATGTAGTCTAATATAGTCTGGGGTTGGAGTTCTGGTGTGCTTTTTTTTTTTTTTTTTTTTAGTCGTTGTGTTTGAGGGACGACGTCGGCTTTAATTTGTACCAACTTTCTAGTGTGCCAAGTGTCAGCTTCTTGATTGGCGAGATTCCTTTCACGTCACGATTCACGTAAACCCGATAGGCTTCTGCTTTTGGTGGTTTTGGACGCGATTATCGGGACATTCTATTGGACAAAAGTCTAAATGTCTGACGCTCGTCGTCCTCGAATGGGACAAAAGCAACCCCACTTCTCGTCTGCTGTGTCCGAGGCTGGAATGGACGTGCAGACCCCTGGGGCATCATCTCACAACACATCTGGAATGCATCTCTCTCTCTCTCACACACACACACGCGCGCACACGCACAGACCCAGTACCAACATCTGGACCCCTTGAATTTCTATGACGTCAGTGCTGACTTCAACTTGTGAGGCGTCACGTCGGGTGACGTCACTAGACAAAGCGAGAGCGACTTTGCGAACTCGTTCAGTGTTTGCGCCTGCGCCGAGATTTTGACGGTGAAGAAGTGGTAGAAGAAAAAGGTGTCCAACCACCCAGCCAAAATACGTCATCACCGGCAAGTTCCCAAGAGGCCGGAAAAATGCTTGGAGCCTTGGACACTGACCGCTAGCAAGTTGGTCGAATCGCTTTCGAAGCCGCCCAGACGCGTTCTGATTTTCCTTCACGAGTCCACTTTGACATCTGGCTGTCGTCTCACAGGGGCAACGTAGCCAGGCGTCGCGGTTGTTGTTTTACGGACGTGTTGTCTATCCGCCAGTCGTGACGCAAGATCAATCACGGGCATGAGGCTAAACCAAACTTCCGGTTTGGGTTGCCATAATAAAATCATTCCACACGTTGGTTGTGGAATGTATCGACTTCCTCCCCAGTCCCCAATGGTTATTTTTGATTGTTAATAATATTGTGGCAAATTTTAATTGAAGTGACGAGTGTAGCTTTCGGCGAGCATCGCGAGTTTTTCCCCCCCGCCTTTTTTATTTCGGAATGTTATTGCACGACTTCCGCTGGTTAACTGTGTTACTTGTTGACGTTTCACATTTTTTCAATCTTCTCCCGCTTGGACAAACACAACGTCAGAAGCGAACGCGCACTGATTATGTCGATCTTTCTCTTTTTAATTTATTTTCGTATCAGGGTGGCACTATACAGTGGTGAGAAATCTGTGTAGCCTCAGGTACCCCCCCCCCCCAATCGCCCTATGTATCAAGCCCCCTTTAGCCCCGGAAGGTAAACAAATCCTGGAGCCTTCCCTGTTTTGTGTTGGTTTTTTTTTTCTTTTTTCCATGTGAAAAAGGCAACACAGTGAGTGTCAAACCCAGATTTCTCAGGTCCGGGGTGCTAATGTGGCCTCCATACTTGCTGTGTCAATTGTCCATACATGTCCTAAAACTGACTGGGGGAGCAGTCCAATCTGTCCACATCAAGGGTCTTTAATCTTGTTTTCCATGTCTCCCTGCTGATTCAAAGGATCAGATAATCAGCAAAGTCTACAGAAGGTGGATCATTAAGAGCGAGATTGTGTTCCAGCAGGGAGAGATAGGAAAAAATGCAGGACAGCATTCGAGAACCCTGGTCGACACGCAGAGACTATTCTTCTTTAGCAATCTGTAAAATATCTGTCAATAGCCGACTCCTCTCAAAAAAAGGAGGCAGGGAGTGTGCAGGGCATACTCCCAAACCAGACTAGTAGCTGACTTAATGTTCTTGCCATTGGTTATCGTTTGTATCATTGGGACAATATGGGTCAGAAATCCCCACCCTCATTGACGATCACTAATTTTGGTACGACGCCCCTGTCCATACGTGCTCAACAACTGACTGCTGACTAGTCCACGGGGTACCCTGTCTCTTGCCAAAAGTCAGTTGGGAACAACTCCAGTTCACCCACCACACGAATTGGGGGGAAATAGAAATAAAATAATCCAACCCAGATTCAGGCTGTGAACATGTGACATGTTTAGGTTTTTTTTAATTGGATCAGTCCGCTTAGGAAAATAGATCCGCCACTTCCACGTTCTCTTCACGTCCAACAAAGAAATGAAGAAAGACGAAGACACGCCAGGAAAGCAAAAGGTGCATTTCACTCATGAGTGGCATCTTGTTTTTCTTTTTGACAGTTGCAACCGACTTGGTCGGCTTCATGCCATCAACCAAAGGTTCAAAGAACACGTCGAGAATAAAGAACAAGTATAAAGTGCAAAAGGGAAACAACACGAATACAAAAAAAAAAAAAAAAAAAAAACAACCTCACAGGTAATCCATGCGGGACACATTATAGCAGCACACAAACAAAAAAAGCATTTAGAAAAAATAGCTTCTGGCAGAACTAGATTACCAACAATGCCTCAGCGCAGCATCCCGTACACTCGAAACGCTCGCTGCAACAGTCAAAAGATAACACCACGCACGTGACATCGACTCCCCTTTCTACTTCCTGCCTGAAAGTGCAAGATGGCGCGTGTGCACGGTCGATCCACACGCTACCCGATTACCGATCTTTGCGTCGTCGACGTCCCCATCGACTTCTCACGTCCGTCTCGTCTTCCCAAAAAGAATTTCCGCTTCCCACCTCCCAACCGTTGCAGTGGAAACCCCAGACCGTCTTTTGTCGTCACGTGACATTTTTCAGAAAATCCCCTCTCAACGCTCACTATTACGATGAATAATCATCATCACGTGCCATAAATGTGGGGTTAGTGCAAACAAATGTGTGAGCTAACGCGCTAACAAGATAATTTACTGCATGTGAACATTTTGCTCAACATTGTGCTCACCGTTGTGGACGATGACATCATCGCCAATGATACGCTCGCCGACGACGTCGTCGCGCCCGCCAGATGTCAGCAGTTCGAGAGACCACCAGGCTGGACGGCTGCGGGTCATGCGATGGCTCGCTTTAAATGACGAGAGCGTCGTGATGTGCACGCACACGCGCATTCTCACAGAGACCCTAAAACACACTCAGACATGAAAATACACTTCCACAAACATGCACACACAAACACACAGGGAAACAAACTCACAAACATGCACGCACACGTACGGAGACACACGTGTACACACACGCACGCACACGGGCGTGCGTGGAAGACACCGGTGGGAGCAAAAAGAACGACAAAGCGCACAAAAGCGTAGAGGTCAGTACAAAGAATCTGGAACAGGTTCTGACCCGTAGAAAGTCAACTTCCTGTCGGTCCCTCCGGACCACCACTTCCTGTTTGGGCTCTGGAGGGGGTGTGTCCGACAGACGGACGGATGGAGGGAGGAACCACAGTGTAGGTTGAGTGCAATGAGGGCGAGGCTTCATTCATCCCCCGATTGGTCACCCATGTGGCCAAATCTGGAAGTAGGGTGAGGGGGCGGGGCTTTGAGGTAAAAGGGGAGGTGGCTTCTAGGGGCTGTGCGCCGGCTCCTCCTCCTTTCTGGCCACAGAAGGCGAAGAAGAGGATGACGCCGAGTTGCTGTCCACCGGCCTGAGCTTGAGTTCCACTTGGCCGCACTCACGCTGCATTCTGGGAGGAGCCAGCGGAAGGTTGCTGTTGTTTTTGTTGTTGTTGTTGTTGTTGTTGCCGGGTCTGGGTGCCTTCTGGATGACTTCCACCATGGGCGTGCGACCAGATGCCGCCAGCTCCCAGCCAGCGTTTCCCGCGCTCTGGAAGAGCAGCAGTGGCCGGGTGTGGCAGTCGGGCTCCGGCAGGCAGCCGCCTCCTGGCTGGCCCCGTTGGGCGGCGGCGGGGGGCGGCGCGGGCAGCGCGCTCAGAAGCAGACCCGGCGGCTCGCGGATCACCAGCTCCAGCACCGACTGTGAGGCTGATGTAGACGACGATGCCTTCTGGATGACGCCGCCCGTCACCGATGTGATTACGGGGCCGTGCGGTGCCACCGGGGGCGGCGGCTGAGGCGGCGCAGCGGGAGGGGGCGAGGCGTCCTCCGGGCGAGGTTTCCTCGGTCTCCCTCGTTTCCGTTTGACCGGAGGGGCGGCCAAAGCGCCGGTCGTGGCCTCTGGGGGGCGCTTGGCGGCGCCCTCTCGTGCTTTGTGGAGCACGGACGCAGGCGGTGTTGCTTTCTCTCGCTCGTAGGACAAACAGCCCTGAGGAACGATCATGAGAGGCAGTGGGCCGCCCTGCTGCTGGGGCAACGTCGCCATAGCGATCACCTTCACGCCACCGCCGCCACTCGCCGCCGCTGCTGCTGGTCCGCCCGTCCCAGAAGCGCCACCCGCGACTGAAGTGTCTTTGGGTGCCAGCGAGGGCGGCGACGAACGCACCGACAATGGCGTCTTGTCTGGGACGGAGCTGCGAGGGAGGATTCGGGGAAGCTGCTTCATGTACGCCTCCACCTGCACCACATGCAGACACGTATACACACACACACACACACACACACACACACACACACACACACACACACACACACACACACACACACACACACACACACACGTCATTTTATAGAGTGGCACATTAAAATAGGAGTAACCCGACTTACAAGTTTTCTGAAAAATGAGCAGTCATTCGGCCGATTTTATGCATTGACTTGAGAGCAAAAATTTGAGATACAAGCATTGGATGGGCAGGTCTGGATGGGAAATACAGAATCATAAGAAAAAATAGAAAAAAGTAAAATAACAGCTAAAACAGAAAAGACTAAAAGTAAAAAAACAAAAGACAAAAAAAAATGTAAAATTACAAAATATTTGAAAGCTTGAAAAAAAATACAAAGGAATACACAAAATTAGAAAAATATAGAAAACACTAAAAGAAACAACAAACAAAGAAAACAATGGGTGGTCTTGCTGTCAGTTCTGTCACTCGAAACGGGTACTTGGTGCCAGTCGGGAGTCTTTTTAAATTCCTGACGAGCATGGCGAATGTTTTCAGAACTCATCGTGCGCAAGCACGCAATGAAATTGTACAAAAAGAGCACCCAGCTGTAAGCCAAATGGTGATTAGCATTAGCGCTACCTGGCTACTGTCGCTCCTCTTGCTGCTAAATAAAAACAAAGAGTTGCGCCTGCACGAGACATGCGAACTGAACTGGAAGAGTCGTTGTGAACCGTTTTTCAAAAGTCATTTCACTCCTCGTTGTGTGTGTGTGTGTGTGTGTGTGTGTGTGTGTGTGTGTGTGTGTGTGTGCGCACGCTTGTGAAAAACAAAAGAGAAAATGAGGAAAATCTGAAAATCCAAATCAATCGAAAACCAAGATTTGACTGACAGCTGCAGGCAACCTACCGCAGGCCGCAGGGAGGAGACGGCGGGGGAGGGCGGAGTCTCCACTGACAGAGGCTTGGCCGAGGGCGCTGCCTTGTCGGCGGCCAGCAGCTTCGACGCGGACGAGGAGGTGGCTTCCACAGAGTCCTTCTGTGGAAACAGGAAGTTGGTGAGCGGCGGCACAGGGCGGCCGGCGGGCAGGTGCTCGACTACCTTGGAGTCCGCGGGGGCGTCACCCTCGCATTTGGACAGGGGAGTTTTCTTGATGACCTTGTGAGGCTTGGCGGGACCTCCTGGAACACAGTGGCGACATGGTGAGGTTCACATACACGCAAACGCGCGCGGACGCGCACACCTGCTAGAGCTGCCGACGCCACCAGCTCGGCTTGACTGCATCGCGGGTTGACGATGTGCTCCTGGATGAGGTAGCGAGCAATCTCCACCACGGTGTCGAAGGAACGCTTCAGGATCTTCTGTGCCCAATCGCAGATCAGCTCGCACGCCGCCTCCGTCACTTCTTGCTTATACGTCTGCACCAACTCCGTCAACTCGGCCTGAGGGCGAGGAAAAGGAGGACACGGGGATAGATGGAGCGGGATTGAGCAGCTGTGTGTGCGCATAACGTGTGCTCACGCTGGTGTGCACGTGTGTACCGGGTCGCTCTTGAGGTCGAGGTTGGGCAGCAGGGGCATGTTAAGGACAGTCTTCCTCCGGATTCCGCTGTAGCAGTATGTGCCGCCTCAGCAGTTAGGGAAAGCTTACGCCACACTTGACACGTTCACACAATGCACGAGGTCACAAAAGGAGGCACGGCGGCCGGCCCCCTGTGGCATATCGCGTCTCCGTGGCAACGCTCTACGGCAGGATATTTGGACTGGCCTCGGCCTCCGAGCCGTCGGGCTTTAATGTTGGGGAAAATGTCTCGGATGATTTTCCCAAAGTTGGCGGCGCTCAACGGACGATGCTGCAGGTTCTCGCAGTAGCGCCTGAAAAGGGGCATAGGATACCCAGACGGCACGGAGGACGGGTGACTGCGAGTGTGTGAAAGTGCGCTCACTTGTAAGTTTCGTAGACATCCTGCTTGGGCAGACACGTGTCGGAATGCTCCTCAAGGTGGCTGCGGATCCAGTTGCAGGTGTGAAGTTGTTCAGACGTGTTGAACAAACTGTCCCCTCCGCCGCTACAAGCGCACACCGAGTTAGGAGGAGTGTTTTTTGAGGGGTGGGGCGGAAGACGCGGCAGCGGCGGTGTCAGACCTCTTGTCGCCGGCGCCGAGGCCCGACGGCAGCTGGAGGTACAGGTACAGCTTGTCGTTGTCCGAGAAGCGTTGAACATCTTGCTGTTGAACAAGGACACACCGTGACATCATCAATTGGTAACGTGGTAAGGGGGTTACGAGTCTTGTTGTTGTTGTCATGGCAATGGGACACGAGCATGTACCACTACAGTATGTCCAAGTTAAATCTCAGGCAGATTAATTGTCCTTGCGGACACTTTAGGTTGGAATTCGAATCAGTTTCCATTCCGGTTTACATTCCAATTCAATTCCATTTTGATTCAAGATTGTTTCCTTACTTTGCAATTTGATTTCCATTCTTTAGGTTGCAATTCATTTCGAGTTCGATTAACTTTGTGTTTAGTCAAAAAAATAAAAATAATCATTTTGCAAACATCTGCTATAACTTGGGAAAACAATGATCAAATTTTTATGCCGATATGGTTCTCACCAGAATCTGGTCCACTTTGGTTTGAACACTCTTCCTGCAACAGAAGACGAACAGAACGTGAGATTGTTGGATGCCGTCTGTTGTTGATGTTGTCCGGTGACGGGCGATACGACGTACGAGATGTTTGTCTTGAGCTTTTGCAACAGCATGCTGGGCTCGGTGTCGCCGTCTGGCGCATCCGAGTTGCTTTCCTCGCCGCCGCCAGGCTGGCACCGGTGCTGCTCCTCCAACATGTGAACCCCCGACTACGCAGTGCTCGGGAGCACCATCTAAAGACAGGTGGGACGGCTCTCAAAGTTGCTCTTCAATCGTCCAAAAAGACACAAACGGGACATCTTCACAAATCATCAACTGGTTTTCGACCAGAACTTGTTTGTCCTCAAGAGCCTGGTCTTGAGCCTATGCCAGCTGACCTTCCCGGGCTTGTCACCACTTAAGGCTCATGTAGACAAATTGAACGGTCGCCACCCAATGTCAGGGCAAGTGCTGACAAACAATGGACTGGTCGCCAGTGAAATATTAGGGCACATATTGACAATCAACAGACTGGTTGCCAACCAGCGTCATAAGCAAACATTCCCAAATGGACAAGTTCACCTTAGGTGAACCTAAGTAAGTGTTTTTATGACTTGGGGATGGTGAACTCCACAGGGTGGCCAGATTCGAACCGTAAAACTCAGAAATATGAGGCAGACGTGCTAACCATCAGGTCGCCGTGTTGCCCTTCTCATATTTTAAACAGTGCATACGATCAAATGTGATGTACTTCAAGATTTGATTGAATATTGCTGCTGCTTGTTTGACATATGTGGACACATTTGTATTAGTTTCATTAACACACAAGTAATAATGAGTAATGGTCAAATGTTTCACTAGTTTGAGGCGTTAGCATCGAGCTAAGTGCCTAGCCGTCATGCTAGCGGACCGGAACGGACACACTTGTGATCATCATCGTCATTGACATCATCAACCTAAATCTCACCAGCACACGTACAAAGTGTCAAACACGATGTCATCCGGACATTACCGACAATGCCAACGTTTGTCTCGGGCTAACAATGCAAGCCCAGCGCGTAGCTATTAAATAGCATCAGCTAGCAAGCGGCGAAGCGAGCCCTGCACTTGTTTTTCGATACCATGTTATTGGGAAAAAAAATCCCAAAAGCGGATAATGACTCGTGTCGCTAAATGATGACAGCACATATGACGAACATTCGAGTTGGCATTTTAAAAAAGAAAAGGAAAGTACCTGAGCCAAGATACAGCAAAAAAGCCCTTGAGATTTTTTTGTGATTGGACGACTCTGTTATGTCTGCCTGACTACAAAGCGCACGTCCATTGCCATTGGAGGGCGGGCGCCAATCTGCCCAGATACCCAAATCTGGCCCCATTCCATTCGCTGAGGCCAAATATTTTTCTGACGGAGATTATTCGGATTGGACGACGTCGTCTGGTCTGCTCAGTTACGAGACAGATGATTTGATCTCCGCTATTCTGCATGGCAACAACCTGTCTGGAAAATGCGCAGCCAAAATCAACGTAACAGTTGTCGAGATGATATCATCACTAATAAATGGGTATGCCTGGCAAAATTTACTACAATTAAAAGCCTAAATTATCATAGATTTTCGCATACGTAGCCAACCAAAAGAAAACTACACACTGTTTGATTGAACACATTTATTTGAATGATACAAAATTGACAAGAAACAAACATTTGCATGAGAGCAGAAAAACTGGAAGAGTGGCTCCCACGAGTGTTCATTCGAAGCCACTGCAGACAAGACAAGACCAAAGACAAATGTTTACTTGAATTATTTCATCAAGTAGTCGAATTTATGAGCTGATTTTTCCCACTTTTCTGACATTGATTTGCCGTCTTTCTCAGCTGAGGAGGAAGCAGGCTAGACCTTTGAACCATACCTGACCATATGAGCGATGTCCCAGTTGGTTTCGCAAGACAGCGGGCCCATGATCTCCACGCCCTCCTCAGTTACTATGGCAATCTCGTACTGAAACAACAAAAACGCCCGTGAGAAACACCACGCAGTGATTGTGCAGCGATGTGTCAAGTTTTAAAATTTGGAGGCGGTCGTCTCTGCCTAATTTTTGGGCAACTTTTGACATCATGAAAATGTTATCTGGCTACTAATTCAAGTGTCATTTCAACGGTGTACACATGCATTTTCAAAAAATGTAACGTCAAACATGGTTCCATGATTTAAGCAAATGATTTAAGCAGTGTGCCTTCACTTCAGGCCTGCAGCTGATGAGTTCCCCAAACACAATTGCCCCGCCCTACTTAAAGTTATTAATCATATTGTTTAATTCTTATTCCACACACTCTGTATTAGAATCGTGTGTTTTGACTAATGATGACACCTACAATGTGCTCCTCCTAAAAAAAAAAAAAAAAAAAAAAAAACCCATTAAAAAAAAGTGTTTTGTTCCCTTCAGAATGATCAAACACCTGACAGAAAGTTTTGGAGCAAGTGAGAGTGCTAATGTTCAGAATGCTACAAACCTCAGAAAAACCATGCTATGTACTTCAAACTTGGGAGGAATTTTGCTACCTTGCCGTTTTTTGGAACTCACTCTGTTGTAGGAGCGGGCGTCTCTGTAGTAGAGAACCTTGAGGCAGCGGTTCACCAGCTCGCAGGCTTCCTGTTTGCTCACCTCCACCTTGTTCTCCAAAGCCTCCCGCATCAGGGGCTACGCGCACGCACGTACACACGCACACGGGTCAAATACACAGCAACAAGAGGCTATCCTGGGAGATGAAGGGTCACTGACCTGAGCCAGGAAAGCACCAAAGCCGGTGGCCACTGTGGGGGACTCGTAGGCCACGCCCAGCTTGTCCACGTAACCCAGGAAACTACAGAGAAATAAGACGGCCTGCTGTTGTTGACGTGTACCCTGACTCACAAACAGTTCATGGCAGTGGAAGCCAGATTTCACAACAAGTACATTTGTACATTTCTGACATTTGAAGGAGTGGCGGCTGGTTCGTAGAGTGCGCTTTTTTGGCAGAAAAAAAATATGGACCATCAATTAATCCCAAAAAATATATGATATGCATAACCCCCCCTAGATGTATGAGTAATGTGGCATTTCTGGTCTAGGCGAGTGTCGTTCAAAGTTAACATGCGTGCGTCCCGACCTCTGCCCGTCGTAGAAGCCGCCAATGACCACGGTGTTCCACAGGGGGTTCATCTTACTGCGGCGGTTGTACATGACCCTGGTGAGCCACGAGTGCATGGCCTTGGGGCTGTAGCTGTGGCCGTCGCCGAGCAGCTCCTCGTCGATGCTGGGAGGAGCAAAGCAAAGCTCACTTATTATTTGACCCGATTTTTCTTCCCCACTCACTCTTTCAGAAAACCAAGATTCATCCTTACACCATCTGCTCAATGACCTGCTTGAGGTACTGGTAGTCGGCGTAGTCGCCCGAAGCGCCCAGGATGGTGCTGTTATTCACCTGAATAAAAAACAAAATCTCATTGGAATACATTGGGAAGGTCAGGGGGTAAAGCAGCAATATTACCTGGGGGGGGGACATAAATAATTAGATTTACATGAGACTAGATGCCCCCCCCAAAAAAAAAACTGAATGATTTTAAGAAAGTGACCAGTAGGAGTCCAGTGTTATGTCACTGTTTATCCTTTATCGATTTTAATGCAAGGAAAGTTTAAAATATGAAGTTTTATCGGTGTCAAACGTTCAACAGATGGACATTTAAAATTTAAATTAAAACCTTCACCTTCATGAGTCGGGAAATGTTTCGGAACCTCGCCAGAGAGCCGTACGAGCCCAACATGTCAGCCGCCATCACTACGCCGCCCGTAAACTTGACCGCCAGCACCGACGTTCCAGTTACCATGGGGGTCCTGCACACAAAATTTCATGACAATCAAACCCATTGGCCTATGAAACTGGAGAAGACTGATATTATTTACTCATTTGTATTTAGTGTGGACATAATACAAAGTAGTGGACATCAACTTGTGTTAAAAGCCGGTTCAACGTTATACCTAACTCGTTGCCACAATTAGTATTTCGAGCGCACGTTTGTCTATGTTGCGGTAACAAATTAGCATTGATACAAATTAAGTCTATAAGTGACTGAAGAGATGAGCGACAGTCGGTGTGCTAACTTTAGCTCGTTAACACAACCAACAAAACGTGAGCAGACAACAAAGTCCACCTTTCCGATCACGGCTCTTCACATAAAACAGCACAACATTCAAGAGAAGTGGTTTTAAAGAGGCTTCAGCGTACGGCACAGAGACTCGACAATTAGCATAGCGTCAGTTAGCTCGACGATGATACAGCAGCGGTGGCCCTCAAAGCGAAAGCTCAACAGTTTCAAATTCTAAGAAGACCACAAAAGCTTGGCGCTCACAGCGTGTGTCGAACCGGACCGCCAGCCGAACTCTGCCCGACACCGCTGCCGCTCCGGTGCGAATAAAAGGCGCCCGGGGTCGGTCCATTCTCCCATAAATTGAGTTTCAAGCCGCTCGCTGCCATGTTGGGGAAATCGATGGCGGAAGTAACGTCACTCCCGACGAGTAAAGTGTCGCTGGCGACTCGACCAGGAATAAATCTATTATTATTAAATAAGGACCATTATCATACAGTAATATATTTTTAGATAATTCTTATTATTAAATCAATAACAATATGTAAAACGAATAAACTCATTAAAAAAGACTGACGGCAACTCTGTAGCGCCACCCTGTGTTACAGTGAAGAGACTACATGTATATGTAATGTATTGTACTGTACAGTATACAGTATCCATCTATCTATCTCTTATGCGCCTGACATTTGAATGGTAAAGAGGTGTATTGTAACAAATGTACATTTTCATTGTGACTTTTTTTCTTGAGTTTTGATTGTTTTTAACTTGTTCGGTTTTTTTTTGTTTTCTCGTTTTGTTTCGATTGGTTTTGGTATGACCTTATTTGTTATAATGTATTTTCTAATTTAAAAAAAAAAATGAAAAGGTCCCTTAATACCCTGTCTGTCGCCGAGTCACTGGCCGAGATTGTGCACTACTTTGACCGCTAAACATAATTTTTTTTATCGAAAATAGATGAACGAACAGTAAAAAGTCACTTTTCACTACTTGTAAGTTTGATGCATTCATGTTGGTGAAATTGCCATAAAATCCCCTTCAGCACAGAAAGAGTGGAGGGACCGCACCCCCCAAAATAGCAAAAGCGGAAGCTACAAGTTTTATTCTGAAAGGCTCAACCGGAGGTGTCCATCGCGCGGTGTGACTTGACTTCGCAGAGCGCTGAAGAACTTGGATCAAGAGCCACAAGTGGAGCCGCGAAAGTCCCTCGTTCTTTTCGGGCGGATTCTGAGAAGCAATCAGATCGATCACTGGGAGACAATTTTTTTTTCATTCGTTCGTCCCGGTGCCGTGCGCTCGGCATGCTACGCTTGTGCCCGTCGGCGATGCTTCGCTCTGCTGCAGCGGCGGTTCGGTCGCGGAGGTTCCCGGGCGGAGCCGCGAGCCAGTGGTCAGGACGCCTGCTCGGAACTCACAGCCGCATCGAGCCCAGGGAGCCGCTCAACTCGCCCAAGCGGGCCAAAGAGTTCATCTACCGGCTGCAGGCCCGCGAGAGGGCCTGTTTACTCAAGGAGCTCCAGAACTTCGAATCCATCGCTATCGCTCAAGGTGCGCCCCGCCCCAAGCGTCACTTCCGGATTCGAGGCTCACCTGGCGGGCTTTCAAGTGAATTGGCGTGGTCTACATCTTGGACTCACAAATTTCGTATTTTTAGGGTTGTTTGATAGCAGCACCCCCCCTCCCCCTCCAAAACCATACCAGGACAAGTATTTAGTACTTTTGATATCTAAAATTTAATTGAACATAATGACCAAAAGCTGTGAACGTCTTTTCTTTCTGACACACACAACGATTCACCAAATGTGTCAAACTGCTGAGAGGATTGACTCAATGCCAGATTTTATTTTGATTTTTTGCCTGTGGTGTTGACAGTCAGGGTGGAATGTACTCGATAGCTTCCGAAATTGTGACTAGCTTAAAAAGTTCTTCAGTCAGCTGAAAACTTTTTGTTGTTGGGTTTTTTTGTTTTTTTTTACATGTCTAACCGACTGCTTGTTTTTCTAATTTTTGGTTCAGCGTTTTACCATTTCCCTTTTGTGCATTTGTCATTTTACAACCGTTTTTATTATCATTCATATTTTCTCTCTTTATTTTAATATAAAAAAAAATTGTATCAAGCATGAGTTTACCTCAGGGAAGTCTAAAATTGACGGATGCTTTTCCTCCACAGAAACGTTGGAATCTTCACCACCCACCGCGGCTCAGATCAGATACGGTCAGCTTCACTCAAACACAGACGCCCGCGCCCACACACACCGAAACACGCTCTCACCTGACGACTGTCTACTCTTTTTATGTCAGTTTTATTCCACAACACTCTTCCCTTCATCGGCTTTGGTTTCCTGGACAATGCCATCATGATCTCAGCTGTGAGTGCCAGCCCACGTTGCGTTCTTGTTGATCTTCTGACGCCTCGTCAAGTGTGTCACTTTTTTTTTCTCCCCATCTTTGTCCGGCCTGCAGGGGACGCAGATTGAGCTTTCCATCGGAGTCACGCTGGGAATCTCCACCATGGCTGGTACCGTCTTCTTACGATGATTGAATTTTCGATGATTGAGTTAAGTTTAGCGATGACGTACAGCAACTCTTGGATCACCAAGCGGTCCGACGAGCGCCCCCGGCCGGCCCGAAGGCTAATGATGGCCCGTCTCTCAGTGTTCTTTCTGCTTGTTGTGAAGGAGATATGGATGACAAAAGTGTTTTTGCTTCTCTGTCCGTTCAGCCGCCGCCTGGGGGAACATGGTTTCCGACCTGGCGGGTCTCGGGTAAGTTGACTTTCTCCGCTGACTCCATGTGGCCAGTTTAAAGATTTGGGACTTCTATGACTATAATAAGATTTAACTTGACAAATCTTGAATCTGCATTTTGGAGATGGTGTGTGCTATTAGATTGCAAGAAATATCGCATTTGTGACTGACTACATTGGACTTCGACATGTAACTCCATCAATAATATTCATGGAGGAGCCTAAGCTTTGAAACTTGAAGGTCCTCCTTAAGACTTGCACATTATATGATTGACTTTGAGCTGGTTACGTGCTCCCTATCTGAGGCGTGTTTGTGCGCGTGCGTGTGGTCCTTACTGCAGCTTGGCGGGTTACGTGGAGGCGCTGGCATCCAGGCTGGGCATGCAGGTGCCGGATCTGACGCCCAAGCAGGCCGACATGTGGCAGACCAGGCTGAGCTCGCACATGGTGAGGTCGGCGCTCAACTCTCGCCTCTTTCGCCAACGTGCCGCCATTAACGCCGCACATACCGTTTCGTCCGCGCGTCCTGCAGGGCAAAGCCATCGGCGTCATCATCGGCTGTCTCTTGGGAATGTTCCCGCTTTGGTTCACCAGTGACGACGACGGCAAGAAGGCCAAAGCGGACAAGGCGGCGGAAGAGGCGGCGGCTAAAGCGGCGGCGTCCTAACACAAAAAGCGGCCGGTCCCCATTCGCTGGTGCTGCCTTGCAAAGACCTGGAGAGTTTCCAGGAAAAAAATCTGGGTTTCAATGGGAATTCTAGAAATTTTCCAAAGTGGAAACCTTCAATGGGAATTTAGGGTAATTGAAAGTCATTTTAGGGAACGGTGTCATATTCAAGCACAAATGTAAAAGAATTGAGTGTGTGTGACAGAAGAGGACATCCATGCAAAGTAGATATGAACTCACCTTGCAGAATTGAAAAAAAAAAAAAATTCTCTCCGGGGAGGGGGGGAATCGCAACTCAGCCATTTAATTTTTTTCCCGCCCATGTTAGAAAAAAAAGGAAAGAAAAAAAACGCTAAAAGTGGGGGATTCAGGTCCAAACCCCGCAAATGAGATGTGGTGTATGACTGAAGCTTCGCTCCAACCCCCCACCCCCGCCCCCCCTTCCCAAAACATGTTAGCAACATTGTAAATCCTCATTTATTCGCTCAGAAAGTTTGCAACTTGGAAAAACACTGGGAATTTTTGCAACCCTACCAGGGGTGAGGGCGGCATTGCTGCAGCACAATCAAACAGGAAGTGGCATTCGCGCTCCTCACTTCCTGTCCGACACTAGCAGCCGACTGGTTGCCATCTGTCAAGTAGAACCGCTACCTCCAGTTTCTTTTTAAACTAGCAAATTTGGAGGGGGTTGTTGTCTTTCAACGTCTTGACCTAAAAAAAAAGCCGGGGGGGGGGGGGTGATGGGACGATTACACAGTCCCAGACATGACAAGTGGCGGAAAAAGCTACTCCTAATAAAAGATACAATCATGTCCAAAATGATTAGCGCAGCCTTGTTTCTTAAGTTTTGTTTGGACCAACATCCCGTGTTGCCTTCACGTGATACAAGTTTTGTGTCGGGGAAGGCATCTGCGTAAAATTCCTCCAAAGTTGGCCCGGTTCATCCTACGGGGTCAAAGCCACATGAATGATATTTTGGTTTGTTTTTTTTAATTACACGGACAACACTGATGTTTTTTTTTTGTATCACTGTGTCATGAATGTGTTTGAATAAATTATTTTTTTTAAAGCGGATGAAATTGTGTGGATGCAGATGTCGCCGTGACGATGGATGGATTGAAATCATAGATGAGCCCGAGTTCACCGGAAACGTCAGAAAACGTGTGCATCTCTTAAACGCGCACAGATTTTGCTTCCTACATTGTCACGTAGCTCGCACACACACAATGAATGTTCATTCCGTCCATGTTTAGGATTTTTTTTTTTCTTCCGCATGTCTTTATCACAAGTCTCCAGCTACCAATACATGCTTGATGCTATTTCTGACGATGAAAATGAAAAAAAATAAAAAGTACATAATATCGAGGCAACATCAGATTAGAAGTGGCATGTGCCAAAGTCATTTTGGCAATATTTTCAGTCAAGTCCAAATCGCATTTTTCCTCCTCATGTGACTTGTTAAGAGTTCCACAAAAACAAACAAAAAAGTGCTCATTTTTCAGTGGAATGAGATTGAGCCTATTTTGGGCTCATGCTTTTCCATCTGAAATGATTCATAGAAGCAACGGGAAGCAATTACTCACATTTCCCCCGCAATTGGCAGCAAAAGCGACTCCCGACCCAACTTCAATCGTCCTTGCTATAAATAAACACACACAAATATCAGCATTTCAACTTTTTCCTTTTATTGGTGTTTAAAGGACAAGATTGGCATACATGTTGCGAGCAGTTGAACAAAGAGACAAACTTCAAAGACAAAACTAGATGAGAAGTGTTGCTGCTTTCCAGTGTAGGAACATTTCACGCAGACTTTCCTCACACTTCCTCCTGCTCCACGACGGCAAAGCGAAGGCGGACGTCGGAAACGGGACACGCGCGACGAACGGAGGAATGTTGCCGCGGCGTCCAAAGCGTGTTTAGTGTCTGTTGCTGTGGCGACTGACGCCCTGCGACCGCTCACCACCACTTGTCGATGACATCACTTCCTCCAAGAAGCTGAGAGCAGGAGAGAGGGAGGCGCGGGTGTCATTCGATGAATGTGTGTGTGTGTGTGTGTGTGTGTGTGTGTGTGTGTGTGTGTGTGTGTGTGTGTGTGAGTGTGAGTGAGAGACCTCTTTGTGTTGAGCATGCTGCTCCCTCCCAGCACGATGCGGACGCCAGGAGTGTTGCGGTTCATGTTGTAGACACTCAGGGCTTCTTCATAGGTGGCTCCGCCGATCACAAACACCACCACGTCCTGAGGCCTGCACGCACGCGCACACACGCACGCACGCGCGACATCATTATGTCATGTGCCCTCGGCACCGACCCATTCCCCCCGCCCCCCTTTGGCGACCCATCACCTGTCTCTGAGGGTGCTCGCTCCCAGATATGGAAACTGACTGTCCTTCAGGCGACCTTTGACCAGCTGATCCAGCGTATCGTGAAGAAGAGGCTGATGTTGAGCGTACACGTTCTCCACGCCCTGCGCGCACGACGCAATCACGCGTGACACGGCGCACGTTGACAACCATTTGCCGCGCTGACCGGTCGCCCACCTTGAGGCCTTTGAAGAACTGTTTGGTGATGGCCACCGCGTCTGTCGGTGTGATGAGGTCACTTCCTCGAACCCTCTTGCCGCCGTACTCCACCACACACTGGACCATCTGAGGCGCACGCGCAAACACAGACCTCAACGGCAAATATTTGATCGGAGACACATTTAGCAACGAGAATGGCTGGACATCATCAAGGTCCAACGTGAAGCCACTGCCCCGGATTGAAAACTGACACACGTAGGCCTGCCGGTGTCTGAAATAGTGACGCGTGTAGTCTCAGCGGGCAAAATGCACGCGTGGACGCAGCGCAGAATGCGTCACTGAATGGCAGCGAAGGAATGTCCACAGCGGTGGTACAAAAAGATTGATCCATTTTGGTGGATAAAACTCCCAAATATTGAATATTACATACCGTATTAGCCCGAATATAAGACGGCCCTGATTATAAGACGACCCCTCTTTTTCAAAACGGAAGTTTGAAAAAAGACTTTTTGAACACCAAATTAATTTTCATACAGAAAATAATTACAGTACATCTGAAACAAATGATTATAACAATATATTTGACAGAAAAAGCATGTTATTTTGCTTCATTCAAATCTAAACATCTGAACATTTAAATATGTAAACTAAAGTGCAATCACATTCGTAAATGAATGGCTTCTGGTTTTTGAAATGTAAATGACATCATAACTTCTCCTCAGCTGCCGGTTAACCTGGCCGATCTTCGACCCACTTTTCTCCAGATTGTCGCTACGTTTCTCCATTTTCTGTTATCTCTTCTATTATTTTCTTCTCTTTTCTTTCTTACCGCTATTTTTTATTTTTCTTCTTCGTGACAGGGGTTCACTTTGGCCTGGGGAGTCAAGTTCAGCATTCGCTTCAATGATATCTGGCGCCATCTAGCGTCGTGAATGGGTATAATGTCTAGACCCCGAATATAAGACGACCCCCACTTTTTCAGTCTTATTTCAATGCAAAAAACACCGTCTTATATTCGGGCCAATACGGTATTAGAATAGCAAGAACTGTGTTGATTTCAGTTTGAACTTCAAGTGGTGCCCGGGCCATCAGGCCATGGTTAATGTCGGACTCTGCATCATCCATCCATCTGTCCTCTTTCTTGTGTGGACTGGCGGTGGTGGGTGAGCACACAGTGACACACAAATATTCTGTTTGACATACACTCGCTGAACAACTTTTAGTTCGTGCGCACGCATACCTTGCGGTGCCTCTCGGACACGCCCCTCCTGGCGAGCTCATCCAGCAGCGCGGGCAGGACGCTGCTGCTGTGGCGCTCGTAGCGCAGCGCGTAGAGCGCCACCAGGCGCACTGCGTCCAGCTCCGACACGCGTGGGTTCTGCAGCAGCCGACGCACGTTCTGGACACAACGGCACGCACCGTTCACGCCCAGAAGTGTTTGTGTCTGTGCCTAAGAGTGTGTGTGGGTGTGCGCGCGTGCATGTGTGAGTGGCTTTTCGCAAAACGCTTCTCACCTTGTCTTCATGTTCTTCGTTCGCTGCCGTTGACAACGATCTACCAGGGCGCACTTTGCAAGAGTTGTGTGCCACGTGAAGGCCCCGAGTGTGTGCAGGAGTACCTGCTGCGCGCTGCTGTGGTCGTTCTGGCAGGCCAGTTCCTGCTCCACCTCGGACACCTCCATCAGCCGACGCTCGGCCACCAGGCGGGACAGCTCGCCCACCACAGTCACGTGCTTGGACACGGTGCCCGACATCTTTTTGAACTGGGGGTAGTTGTCCACGAAGGCCTGCGGCGCGTGCCCAGAGGGGGGGGTCACTCGGACGACAAACCACAAACGCGCGCTGAACTGGCGGCACCTTCATATCTGAGATGGACTCCAACTTCTGTTGGCCTTTGGGTCTCTTCTTCTGGAAGTCCTCCATCAGGTTCTTGATATTGGTGCCGATCTCACCGAAGTTCAAGTACAAGTTCTGGAAGAAGTGAAACTACAATCACACCTAAATGAAACAAAATTTCCATGGGAAAGCCTCCTGGGTGGACACTCACGTTGGCGTAGAACTCGTCGTTCTCGGCGGACAGGACCACCTCGCGCAGGTCTTTGCTGATCCCGGGTACCCTGGACAAGTCGATGCGGTTGTTGTTGAGGCCCAGCAGCTCGTGCACCATGGCCTGGTACGTCCACTGCCAACGTACAAGTCACAAACGGGACATTTATGGGAAATGTTCGTGGTCTGGCTCAAGCTTGCCATATTTGTCGCTGGTTGCTCAGAGACCCAATTGAAAGTGACCTGCCGCCTCTTCTCGTTTGTATGTGAAGTGCAGCTTGGCAATTCAGGTTTGGCAGCGCTTTACCATTAGCGAAAGGGAGAAGACGAGCGTCTGGGGTAAAAGGCAACAACAGGATCTCATTTCTAAGACCCGGCACATCACCTGGTTGAGCAGAGGTGTGATGGCGTCATCGCTACGGTCCAGGATGAGCAGCAGGGGCGGAACTTCCGTCTTCCTGAAGTCGAACAGCTCGTACTCCTTGGTGATTATTTGCTGCACGGGGGCGATAGTCCAGATGTCAGGGTGAGAGGGCGGAACGGCGCCGGTGCGGTGGCGCTAACCTTGACGCTCTCCGCCAGCCGCTTGGACATGTCGGAGGACAGCTGGTAGCGGATCATGGGACACTTCTTCAAGGCCAGCAGGACGGACGTCAGGCCCTGCGTGCAGCGCCACAACATGGACGGCTCCCAGCTACGCCCCTGTCGCGTGCACGCACGTACACACAACCAGATGAGCATGCGGAGAGATGAGACGAGCTGGCGGTATGTTGTTTCTTACCTTGGCCACACCTTGCAGGTTGAGGGAGAACACGTGAGGATTGATGGCAATGAAATCGCCATAAAACTCCTGTGGGAACGCACGCATACACACACAGACATGAAATCAGTGTGAATAGATTTTTTTTTGGTGGGGGGGGGGCAACAACATCCCCGAGGAGGGAGAGGCTGAGCCACAAAGAAGTCAGCATGCATCACTCACCTGTACTTCGGCGACCACTTCTTGTTCGTCAGCCTCTGCTAACGCTTTGATTTCACTTTTACTGATCACGTTGCTGAAGTCTGACACACACACACACACATACATATATGTATGAGTCGAGCGTATTGCCAAGATGGCGGCCAGCTGGCTAGGTGTTCTCACAGATGAAGTAGACGCTGTATTTTGGTCTTCTCAGCTCCTGGATCAGATGCTCCACGTTCTCCTGCAACACATGCACACGTTACCTCCAGTTCCTCCTCTTCCCATTGAGGTTGACGTTAGTGAGTGGCACACACCTTGGTAGGTCTCAGGAAGCAGATGGCCTTCAAGTGCTTCATGCTTTCTCTGCTGTGCGAGTCGATGCGTTCAAAGAGGTAGACCTCCTTCTGCAGGATCTCTGACTGCGTGTAGACCACGCTCACAATACTCGTCTACGCACGCACAACACGAAACAATGAGCACTTACAACAGGCCGGCTTCTAACTGAACCCGAATGTGTGTCCACACTTGGAGAAACTATGACTCAAGTCAAGTCAAGTCAAGTACAACTTTGTTGTCTATAGATATTAGACTCAAATATGTTTTTGAGTTGTTTTTCTTGAAGGTGGAACCACAGCGGTTGCTTGCTGGGTGTTGTGTGTCCTCACCGTCTCCTTGTCCATGAGCAGCACCTTCATCCCGGCCCCACTGCTCTCGATCATCTTGGAGATGTACTGCTTCACCGCCAGCGTCACGTTCATGGCGGCCACCAGCAACGACGACGACCAAAAAGAAGGACAAGATGACGCGCTGAAAGACACGGCGGAGCGGGCCCGGACAGGAAATGGACCCAAGAAAACCAGGCAAAGAAGTCAGCGGAGCCTCCTGGTTCTTCTCAAACCACAAACGCTGAAAACAACACGGCGGCCATTGTGAACGTCACTTTGGGAGGAAGTCGACCTTTGACGGCCAACAACAGCGTTCAAAATAAATCTCGGGACTCTCTCCCATAGAAAAAAAAATCCACGTATGACAATTAGACCAAAATACGTGAATGTACTGATTTACCTTTTTGTTTGTAGGCGCTTTAAAATGATTAAATTGTTTGTAGTTCAAATATTTCCCTAAAATTGCTTTTACTTTGACGAGTGACCGGAAGCGGCCATACTTCACCGGACACAAGTCGTCGCTCAGCTTTTGGTCTCCCTCGTTATGAAAGCATTACATTGGTCAAAACTTTTCCTTCAGGCGACTATTCTTAAAACGTCTTCAAATAATCCCAATAAATCCTGTCGCATTTTACGAACGAGCGCGCCTGGCTGACTTCCGGGTTTTACGACCTCGCATCGCTGCCATCTTGTGGAGATGTTTGGTTCTCGCATACAAGCTTGCACTGCTCAACACCAATATCTTTTTGAGTCATCTCGGCAAGAAATGTTAATCATTTTAAATTAATAATGGAGTTCCCCCATGGAACACATCGAAATGCCATTAATCCATTGCACCCCCCCCCCACACACACACACAATACACACAATTGATCATATCTTAAAATTGGGCAGAGTAAATACAGCGGCGTCTTCATTTGTGGCCAGACAGGAAACTGAAAAAAAATCCTCGGTCACTCATATTTCTAGTTATTCTCTTCAGGACTAGGGCCCCAACAATTGGGATTTTGTCCAATAAAGGCTTTCCTATTTTCTTATCTTATCTTATTAAAGCGCTCGTGTTGTAGTCCGTGAAGGTGTAACAAAAAAATAAAAAAATTAAAAAAAACAAAACAACAAACAATCACTTTATTAATGGAGTGGAACTGTATGTCAGCTCCCAAACGCGGGGTCAGAAAACAGCTCAGCATATGTTCGAGTTGGCTACGAGGAGAAGACGTGATCTGCGGTGCGTCCTCATGTGTGACGTTGCGTGAGCTTTTTGTGAGAAGCGCTTGTCGCAAAACGCGCACGAGAAGGGCTTTCGTCCTGAGTGCGTCCCGACGTGGGTGGCCAGGTGTCCTTTCTGTGAGAAACTTTTTGAGCACAGCGAACAGGCGAAGGGTTTCTCCCCCGTATGCGTCCGCAGGTGCGTGTTCAGGTTCCCGCGGTGAGAGAAAGTTTTGGGACACAGCGAGCAGGAGAAGGCTTTCTCCCTGCCGTGCGTCCTCATGTGCTCCAACAGTGCCGAGTGATGGTAAAAGTGGGCGTGGCAAAGGGCACAATGTAACGGTTTGCCCGGGCCGTGGGTGGCCTGGTGTCTCGCCAGATGTCCTTTCTGCGAGAATCTGCCCCCGCACAACGTACAGCAGAATGGTTTCTCTCCCGTGTGGACGCGGGCGTGAACCGCCAGGTTGGCGCTCTGGCTGAAGCGCTTGCCGCAAACGGAGCAGCCGAAAGGTTTTTCTCCCGTGTGGATCCTGGTGTGAGTCGCGAGATTTCGCTTGTGAATGAAACTTTTTGGGCAGTGGCCACATTGGAAACGTTTCCTGCTCTCCTTCAGAGTGACCTTTTCCTCGCTGTGATGGTCCGTGTCAGGAGAGTTTTCTTCTTCTTCTTCTTCTAAGTCTGACAGGGGAGCCAAGAAGGAATCTGGTTCTGCCGTTGTGGTCACGTGATGGCTTGACTCCGCCCCTCTGGTCTCCTCATGAGGATCCGGGAAATAGGCTTTTTTTTGCTCATTGTCGTCGTCATCTTCCGGCTTCACATGGATCTTGGCGACGTCAGTGTCCTCACGAATGATGTCCTGTTCCTCCTCTTCCTCCTTGACGGAGGGCCACTCCCATTCGCGTTGGTCCGCCTCGTCTTTGACGAGTGTCAGTTGGAACGCATCTGGTGGGAGAACTGAAAATCAAGCGTGCAAAATGCCTATTACTTTCAACAACAACAACAACAACGCTGCAACAAAACACAAATAATTTCATGAGGAAAAAAAAAAGTTGAAGCAAAATCTCAACGTTGAAGCTTCTCTGTCATTTAAAAAAAAAACAACAACAACATACCGGTAATTACATATTGGAAGACAATGATAGTCAACATGAAAACACAAAAGTGGACTAAAACAGAGAGAGAAGAAATATCCCTTTTACAGAACAAACAGATTTGACCTTTCTGATTTAAATTTCACTTGTACCTCTCAAAAGAAATCAATGATTTTTTACAGTTTTCTGATGACCGTTCAAAACTAAACCAGTAAGTGAATCATCACCACTTTTTGTTTGTGCAGAAGCACTTTGAGTTTTTCAATAAAGGGATGAAATAAAAAAAAATAAATAAAATTATCCGATTCATTGCTTAGTTGAAAAAAAAATAATGGACAGATTAACAGATTATTAAAACAATGGTTATTTGTTGTCCTCGTTGACTGGGAAGCTGAGCAAAGTTGGAGCGTTTATGAATAAAAAAAAATAACATACACTGCCACACTGTACACAAATCTTGACACATGTTGAACGTGTACATTCGATTTACAATGTTTATGCCCCTCAATGGTTGAAATCTGACTTTCAATGTGCAACCCAGTTTAACGCATTGGGTGCATCACAATTCCGAAATATGGCACAATCTCTGCATCTCGCTGTCACTTTTTCTTTCTGATTGGATTAGATCGAAAAGTTGTTCGCTGGATCTCACATTGCAAACGCAACGACGCGCAAAACGCGTCGAAACAGCTCGACAATGGAATGTCTTATTTTATCTTGTTTTACCTTCGCTTAGTTTATTTTATTTTGGCTCATCTTAGTTTTATTTTAATTTATTTCATACTAGCTTTAGCTCGGCCTGGTCCTGTGCACGTCAAACGGTTTGGATTTGATCGTTTGAGCGAGCTCGCAAACCTTTAATCGTCGACTTGGATTCCCAAACCGAAACGAATGTCCAGTGTTGGTCCATCAAGATGATATTTTGCTCTTTGGGTATTTTTTTGCCTCGTCCTTTGTCTCAGTATTCATCCGTGGACTGATTCAGGAAGTAAACATGCTCTGGGTTCCGGTCGACGACCCTTTCAAAATAAAACCAACGCGACACGGAAGTTGTTTTGGATTCCCCAGAATGACTCGAGTAATAAAGTCATTCATATTTATGCTGACGTTATTGAGAGTTCTTATAAAAACATTACTATAAATAGTTGAAGCAGAGGATTTCATTGTGAAGTAGAGGCACAAAAAGCCTTTGGTGGTTATTTCTGACCTTGTTTCACCAATCCATCCATTTTCTAATCCGTTTATCCTCACAAGGGTCGCGGCCCACCTTGTTACGTTTTATTAATATGGTTCAGTGTGAAATTTAAAATAAAGATGACAAACATCACACATTTATTAAATATCCATGTTTTTTTAGTAACTCACCAGCCGAGTGTGGCTGTTTAGGATGACTCATGTTCAGAGAGGCGGTGCCTGTTGAACCCCCTGGAGTTCGATTGGGGAAAAAAGGGGATGTCAAGCTAAACCTTATTGAGTCTCAAGATGATGGGAAATAGAAGGACGTCAAATCATCATCAACAGTGCCAATACGATGTTCTGAAATCTTCTACTCAAAAGGGAAAACGGAGGGGCGTGTGGACATATTGCTGATGACAAATGGCCATTTTAAAAGGAGTTAGTTGTTTATTTATTTCTCCAAAACATAGTCATCAAATTCAAAATGAAAGCTAGTATCAATTAAATGAAAAATTAAGAGTTTTTGAGTGAAAAATGGCCCATCTCTGCCGGATGATCCCTTTCAACGATAATGAACTGAAACTACACAAACCGAACCCGGCATGTTTTCTTTCATGTCTTGACTGTTCTGAAATGCCGAATAATTTAATTGGAATCCTGGTCAAAAGAATTCTATGATTACTTCTTTTCCAAGAGTAGTGCACACAAACGCACACACACCGAGATGAGGTTTCACTTTGCCTTTGAAAGTGCTGCGCAAAGGCCATCTTTTCATGTTTTTTTTTTTTTTTTGCTTCCCACGTTGCTAATGCGTAAATAGCTTTGCTTCTGCGTGCGCGCGTGTGTGACGAAGGCCTCTTATCAGTGCAGTAAATGCCAGCACGGTGAATAGCCCGTTTGGTCCGAGCCAGACGAAGCAATGAAAAAACGTTTGAAAGCATCGCGGTGACGTCACCTCGCTCATCTTTGATCGGACGATCGCCTTCGCTTCAACGAGCCAAATGAGCTCACAGGAAGCGGCCGTGAAGTCCATCCGTCCCAAAGTCCCATCAACCACATCATCCACGTCACTCACGAGGCCCCAAAACGATTTTTGATTTGACTACTCCATTAACTATATTGAAAAAGTCGACGAGATGATAAAAACCCATCTTGTAAAGCCCATATTGTGATCTGGGAATATTTCGATGAAAAGTTTCACCCAAATCCTGCTCGTGATTAGCGAGTAGCAAATGAGTTGATTGGGATTTTGAGTGGTGGGCGGAGCTCGACACAGCGCGGCGTGTTGATTGGTGGGCAGACAGGAAGCCATGTGACAAGTCCAGTTTTGTGAAGATTGTTTATTAGCAAGATTAAGATGATACAAGGTGATACTTGAAAGTAGACAGTGGGAAGGACAGCGAGGAGCGGGCGGTGCCGTGGGCGGGCCACACCCTGTGAGGGGACGCCAGGAAACGACATCGTCGCGCCGCAACGCATCAGTCGGCTTTTTTTTTTTACATCGGCTTTTCTTTGTCTTACTTGGTTGTGGATGTCAGCTTTAAGTCATCCCCTGCCAGCCACTTGAGAGCATTTTGACATTTTTGACAGCTCTTGTGTTCAATGATTATATATTTCGCAAATCTACCAAATGAAAGGAGTGACTCTCTCCTTTCACCAAAGAACAGTTTGAGTCTGCATTTCTCTGTTCTTTCATTATCAACAATAGGTTGTACAAAACGCAGCCGTTTTTCCGAGCGGACTTCCAACCTGTGCAGATGTCATGTCTAAAATGCATCCGCGCCATCGACTGACGGTTTCGCATCACTTTAAGTTGTTTCCATGTTTGATGCAGTGGAGCAACATCAGATGTGCCTCCACCCATCCCCATTGAAAACAAAAACAAAACAAGAACTGACTAGTATACCCGTCAATGGCAGTGAATGACTTTTAACAGCTATCCGTTAGCCTGCTAGCTAGACAACAGAAGACTTTTGTGTGGGGTGGCGGTGCCGTGGGCGGGCCACACCCTGTGAGGGGACGCCAGGAAACGACATCGTCGCGCCGCAACGCATCAGTCGGTTTTTTTTTTTTACATCGGCTTTTCTTTGTCTTACTTGGTTGTGGATGTCAGCTTTAAGTCATCCCCTGCCAGCCACTTGAGAGCATTTTGACATTTTTGACAGCTCTTGTGTTCAATGATGATATATATCGCAAATCTACCAAATGAAAGGAGTGACTCTCTCCTTTCACCAAAGAACAGTTTGAGTCTGCATTTCTCCGTTCTTTCATTATCAACAATAGGTTGTACAAAACGCAGCCGTTTTTCCGAGCGGACTTCCAACCTGTGCAGATGTCATGTCTAAAATGGGGCATCCGCGCCATCGACTGACGTTTTCGCATCACTTTAAGTTGTTTCCATGTTTGATAGTTGCAGTGGAGCAGCATCAGATGTGCCTCCACCCATCCCCATTGAAAAAACAAAACAAAACAAGAATTGACAAGCATGCCCGTCAATGGCAGTGAATGACTTTTAACAGTTATCCGTTAGCCTGCTAGCTAGACAACAGAAGACTTTTGTGTGGGGAAAGAGTCGTGAAGTGTTGCGAAATGTTCCAAAATGGTGTCGGGAGTTGTGATGCATTTGGTGCGCTGGCGTTGTCGCGGAGGGGGCGAGGGGGGTCCTCACAGCGGTTCAGTAGCAGCGCAGGAAGAAAGTGTTGCACGCCGTCCCTCGCAGGCAGTCGCACAGCCGTCCGATTCGGGGGCCGTGTTTCATGGCGCAGCGCTCGCCCACGTCGCACTGACGCACAACATGCACACAAACGGACAAATCACCTTGAATACAAAATGAATGTACGCGCAAGGAGCATGGACTTATTGCTGATATTGAAATCGCCCCTTAAAGCAAACGTCATGAATAGTACGGTGTGCATCCATATGTGTGCGTGCGTGAGCTTTTTTGTCAGGGTGCGCTGCCTTGTGATTGACAGGTGTCAGCGGCGTTCTCACCCGAGGAATAAAACTGGCCTTCTTCTCCCGCGATACGCCGGCGCCACCGCCTTCCGCCTCGTCCAGGAAGCCCTGCAGCACCTCCGCCTTCACACACACACACACACACACACACACACACACACACACACACACACACATACGGCATCAAGAGAGATGACGACATGCTGTGCTATGCGCGTGTCCCGATGGCGTGAAACATGACATTGTAGGTTCATGACTGGTCGCTAAGTTGGTGGGCTGCTAATGAGCAGAAAATAATTAATTAGCGGGCTCATTAAAGTCACCCTCCCGTCACTTAATTGGTTGCAATTGTTTCACTCTAATTACTCCAAAGTTTCACCTGACAACCCTGCCATTGACTGTCTCACAATTTAGGTCCTTTTTTTGGCCGCCAGCGTGAATTCTGCACCAGGGAGAATGAGATGAGCGCGGGATGGCAGAGTCAAAGAGGGAGGTCTGTGTCATTGTGGGCGTGATCACGGCTGACTTCACTCGTGGCAGACACCGACAAAAACACATTCACACAGACAAACACAAATAGACAGCCCCAAATGCGCACGCACACACACACACACACACACACACACATACACACACACACACACACACACACACACACACACACACACGTATGCGGACGGACTGACCAGGTCGTCGTTTGTGAGTCGCAAGAGTTTGGGTTGGTCAGGTGCGGCTGGAACCTGCACGTCGGCGTCCAACCTTTGACCCCAGCATAGGACTGTCAACAGGGACAGACACACATGGAGGAACAGGAACAATCGCATGCTCTCCATCACACCTGAAAAAAAAAATCCCAGCCCCGAGCGTAAAACACACACACACCCACACACACACACACACACACACACACACACACACACACACACACACACACACACACCCTCATCAGGCTTGTACATAGCTTTGAATTAGGTGTGATGGAGCAAACAGGCTGGCCAGAGGTTCCCGAGGACTGGATTTGGGGGCCCCTAATTCAGAGAATTTTTTTTTGGAGTGGGGGAGTTTGCCAGAGGCTTTTCTGCCAAATGCAAAACCCAGAGCTCAGATTCGAACCCTGAGCAGAACTGCAAGGCAGACGTGGTTCCCGCTTGTCCATTAACCGCGCTCCCGAAAAACATTCAAGCCAAATTCAAAGTTGGAAATCGTCACCTGGCTATCGGCTGGCAGATTCTTTTTCTTCTTCGTTTCCTCCTCCTTCTGCTTCTTGTCTTCTTCTCGCCGTTGTCGTGTGCCATGGCATTGTGGCACCTTCGCCTTTATGCTCTCCTCTCACTCCTCCCACCTTTGTCATTCGTCATGTCGTCACATCAAAAGTGCGTCCACTGGGGTCTGGCCGCCCCTTTGATGGATGAAGACGGCGCTTGCTCCATATTCAACAGGTCGCTGCAAGGTGACCGGACGCCACAGTTACAGTTCCGACCAGTGGGTCCCGAGTCACTCGCCAAAAGAGCGCCGAATGCCGCGCTGGCTGCGTGTGAGCTTGTTCTTTTATACGTGCCTGTTTGCGTGTGTGTGCGTGTGTGTGTATATGTGTGCGTGTGTGGGGTTGCACGAGAGGCCCAAATCGAAGTTACTCAAAAGATGACTAGTAGAAAGAAAAGACAACCACAAAGGCAAGCTTGAATTTCGGGTTGTGCAGTACCATGTTGTGCCACAAGTTGGCAGCTGGCAGCACTGAGCTCTTGTGGAAGAGAAGAAGCATAATTAAGAGCAAGAAGATGTCTGCTCTCTTTGTATGTGTGTCCAAGCAGCATTTGTTGGAAGGGTTAGACTGAGCCCAAAATAGATGCTACTTTCTGTTAGCCCGTCTATGGCGTTTCAAGTTATACGCTAGCGTGAAGCTAACATGCTTCGGCTGGATGAAAAAAGGGAGTGTGTCTCCCACCGCATGATCAATAACATCAACACAAGGGCTCCCGTGTACCCCCCCCCCACACTGTGACAGAGGTCAGGGGTCATGTCAAGTCCTTCAAGCCCATTGGGATACCACCTGCGACCCATCGCTGCGACCCATCGCTGCGACCCATCGCTGCGTCCTGCTGCTTCAAACACAAGCAAGTAAAAAAAAAAAAATGTTGCGCTCATTTGCATGATGTGGATGTGGTGCAAATTCGTGTGTCCGAGGTCAGTGTGTTTTCATGAGCTAGCATGCGCGACCCCGTCAGGAAGACAAATGACATGGCCCTCCAAGTTATTCAGCATGAAAGACGCTTTTTGTCATGTTTGACCCCTGTGGAGGTGGGATTGGCCCCGCCCACAAGCCTCACGTCAAGCCAGGCCTTGGGGTTGTCTTGGCGCGACGCATGTGACGTCCGCAAGCCTCTTCTTCTTCACACAAGAGATAAGAAACAGTTCATGTTAATGTGCGTCAGTGTGTGTGTGTGTGTGTGTGTGTGTGTGTGTGTGTGTGTGTGTGTGTGTGTGTGTGTGTGTGTGTGTGTGTGTGTGTGTGTGTGTGTGTGTGTGTGTGTGTGAAATACAGGAAATCACAAGGCATCAAACCGCGTCATGTTCATGGGATTCGATTGGCCAAAAGTGGCCACCACAGATTTAAAAGGTCCAAGTGGATGTCAAGAGTCACTCATCACATTATTTTTCATATTTATTTCAAATGCATTTGACACATTTCAAAAGCTCAAAGTAGGAAAACAAGCAAGCCAGAATCACGCAGTGAGCTGCTATAAAATGTCAACTTTTCACTCTTGTGACTTCCTTTCAAGTCCAAAAAAAATACACTTCACATTTGGTGATTGTTGTGTTCAAATTTGGATTCATGCGACATCATTCAAAGACACGCTAGGCAAAAACTGAAAAAATAGACTTTTGTCCGTGCATAATTTGTGTGTGCGAATGAGTGCGTGCGTGTTTCACACAAGTGATTAGGGGGAGGGGTAACTGCAGGTCACGTGTGTGTCTCCATGACGACCATCATCACCATCATCATCAAGCCCTACCCAGAAGAAGACAAACAAGACCTCCGTAAGCACGTTAGCATTAGCGTGTGCGGGTTTGCTTCTTTCGCACATACATATGTGGAGGTCACGTCAAGGTCATTGTCGTTCTCACCGAGCAGATGAAGGTGGAGGATGATGCGTTGTCGACTGTGACTCCGCCGCTCTCTTGATGGGGTGCCGTGGTAACGCCCACTTCGTCTTCATCCCAGTCCTGCTCTTCATCCTGGTCCTCCTGTGAGTCCAGCAGGTGCTTCCTGTCCTTCAGGAAGTTGTCTAGGTCCTCAATGCTTGTGTTACCTACACACACACTCCCACCCCACACACACACCCACACACACACACACACACACACACGCACACACACACACACACACACACACACACACACACACACGCAATCAGTGTGTGCCTATCTTTGAATGTACCAAATGTGTGCGTGAATGTACACATTTCCCAGTGTGAGCGTGTGCACAGTGTTTGCCCGTGTATGAGTTCATGCGTGTGTGTGTGTGTGTGTGTTTGTCCACAAGTGTGGGCCTGTTCATGGGTTTTGAATGTATCTTAGCCAACCAACTCACTGAAGAAGCTGTAGCGCAGTGTGGAGTTGTCATCGTATTCGTAGTCTGGGGATGATGTCGTCACCTCAGCAACGCAGCCTGAACGCACGCACGGACACGCGCACACACACACACACACACACGCACACACACACACACACACACACACACACACACACACACACACACACACACACACACACACACACACACACACACACACACACAGGCCTGAATGCAACATGGACCACTCCACGGTTTATACAGAGACCAA